CACACACACAGTCTGCAGAGAATTCATCCTGCAATCATAGGAACACTCTGATTTTGTCTGCATTCACTTGGTGGGTCTGCAAAACTGACTTTTCCCTCACAGAGACTCCATGCAGAAGAACTAACTCCCAGAGTCTCAGAAGAGTTATCAGGTCTGAGAAATAACCTTTTTTACCCACGAGGCTGTTCTGTGATGGGCCAGCCCTCACTGAGCTTGCCTGTCCCGCTGGGGAGCCTCATGGAAATCCACTGGGTCATCCCAATGTTCCTTCGGAGGCTCACCAGCAGGTCAACAGAGTGGCCATCCCTGGGCTCATTTGGGCCCTAGTGATTTTTGTTGCTTCTAGAAGTGTTCATTTTCAGTTTATCCAATACTTCAAGCATACAATAAAGTTCAAAAAATCATTTAACAGAACTTCATGTATCTCCCTAAGATTTTTCAAGTATTAACATTTTACCATTATATTAGATTTTTAAGATAAAATATTACAGGTACGGTAGAAAAATCCCTCCTTACCTAATTTCCATTTCATTTTCTCCTTGCTACCCAGAGTAATCACTAAGTTGAAGTTTGAGTATTATTTCCACTTTATTGCATATATGTGACATAGAAAAAATATATAACGTTTTAAAAATGTATATAAATGGTATACCTACTTAATACCACTAGTATACTTTACTTGAGTCTTTTGAAAGCTTCTTGTAATATTCATTTTAAGAATAGTTTTCATATTGGTACATTAAAATTGAGTACATTTATTTTTTAATGCTATAAAAGATTCCATTATAAGATTATACCACAACATAACCATTTCTTTATGATGGACATTGGAGTTACAGCATTCTTTCTTTCAAGAAATACATAATTTCTATTTTATATAAACTACATAATATCATTGAAAAGAGAAAAAGTTACCCAATTCATTTTATAACTCTGATTTAACCTTTATACCAAAACTAGACAAGAAGAGTACAAGAAAGAAAAAGTGTGGGCTAAACTCACATTTGAATGTAAACGTAAAAATCTTCAGTTAAATATTAGTCAAACTGAACCCAGCCATGTGTAGTAAATTAAGTGTATGCAAAGTGTGCGAGTTATTAATGTGACTCATCACATGAACAGAATAAAGGAGGGAAACAATGATTTTTGCATAGATGTAGAACAATCATTTGATCAAGTTCAATAACTATAAATGACTTAAGAATATGAAACCTTCAAAAACCTGGATAGAAACACTTCTGCCGGGGTCCAGCCCCAGCAGGTCCAGGGGTCCCCAAAGGTGTGGACGGAGTCGGTGAAGAAGGAATGACACGGAGACAGTGTTCAGTTGATCAGCAGCCTTGCCAGGATCTCTAGCCACAATCTCCAGCCAAGTTCTGTGTCCATGTTCTCTTGCTAGGTTCTCCAGCCACATTATCCAGGTTCTCCAGCCAGGTTCTGTAGCCATGTTCTCTCGCTAGGTTCTCCAGCCAGGTTCAGTCGCCAGGTTCTGTAGCCACCCGCCTGGCACTTAGTGAAGGGGTTTTATTCCCTCCCTAACTTCAGGGGAAAATCTCTACCTGGGGAAACAACCTTTCTTGGAGAGGTGACCTTGGTTAAAACATATAGTGCCAAGAAGGTGAGCAAATATATTAGGAACAGTATGCCATATATGCCAGCTCCCTTGAAACAGCAAGGATGGACCGGCTCCCGGCACACTTCCTTAACCTGATAAAGAATATTGACCAACACTCCCAGGAGGCATGCACTTGGTGTTGAAGCATATTATGTAGTGCCTCCCCTGGGAGCTTATTATAAATGCAGACACGGATTCCACCCTGTGGAGTTCCCTCATTGAGTTCCCTCTTTTCTTTCAATGATTGCTGTTACTTTAAATAATTGTGTATGTATGTGTGTTTTTTAGTTTTATCTATTTATATAGATGTCATTGAGTGTTTTCCTTAAGTTTGTGGAATGGGGGCTATGTCAGCTCAGCAGCTATGGTGCTGGAATTTCTTTCTTGGCAATTTTCTGGGCCTGAAGACCCAAGAGACAGCAGAGACCACTCTGGAGGAGGCGGAGTAGTTGGGCTGCCATAAAGTTGGTTCCTCTCCTATGCCAGGGAGTTGTTGCTATTCATACCTTCTTATTTTGGCTTCATCTGAGAAGCCATTATGATGGATCCGATGAGGATAAAAATATTGTATGAAACCCCTATGACTGTATTTTACCATAGCCCTTCCTAAGGATTTGATATTTCCAAGGTTCCTACAGTGGCATCCTATATAATAAAGATGTAATATGCAAATGGTCGTTACGTAAGGACTGACCGCGTAATGATCGGATCACGGATCAGTAGGAGGGTGGGGCAGCAAGCTTCAAGCAGGTGGCAGAGAGCTACAGGAGGGGGTAGGGCAGCAAGCTGTGAGGGAGGAAAGCGGGGGCAGAGGGCAGTTACAGGAGGGCGGGGCAGTGGGCAGAGAGCTACAGGAGGGCAGCAGTGAGCTAGTGGTGCACAGATTTGTGCGCAGGGCTACTAGTTGAAATACAAAAATACTATTAATCATAATATTGCCATCAATGTCACACTTCTATTTAACAGCTTTAAAAATATGTTTCATGGTGGTTCTCAGGGTTGAAGATGGAGAGAGAGATGTTTCTAGAAAGCACTTTTCATGGTAGCAGACTTTCTCTAAACTTTTCTGTTAATGAACAAAGGATTCCAGTGACTGTGAAGAGCAACACAGGGCCTGGCCATGCTGAGCCAAAGAACAATCAATACATTCTTGACTGTAAGGTCACATGCATTAAACAAGGCAGTTCTGATGCCAAATCAATCCTGCATTGTATATTTCCTACAGCAGATATTGAGGTATAGATCTGCTGTCGGGGGAGCAAGAATGTCATCAGGAAATATCAGTTCAGACAAATCTGGGTTACCACCCGCAGGGAAGGACCTGGATTGATTGTACTCTGTCTCACTCTGTGGTGAAAATGTCAGGTCAGAGTGAATATTCATGTAGCCCTTGGAAAGAGGAAAGGAGGAATCAATAAACTAAACACCCTACCTAATAATGGAACTGTTTTCTCCAAGGCGAAGTCCTTTGTTCTTGAACTTGGTATTCCTGTCCCTGATATGTTGGTAATGTTGTCTTAGAAATGCAGCAAAAAGATTTCATAGGAAGCCTAAGGGAAGATTTGTTCCTTAATTCTGGAATAAGGGTTATGTTAACATGGTTCTGTCTAGGCCAGTGGTCGGCAAACTCATTAGTCAACAGAGCCAAATATCAACAGTACAACGATTGAAATTTCTTTTGAGAGCCAAATTTTTTAAACTTAAACTACATAGGTAGGTACATTGTTATTAACTTAATTAGGGTACTCCTAAGGCTTAGGAAGAGCCACACTCAAGGGGCCAAAGAGCCTCATGTGGCTTGCAAGCCGCAGTTTGCCGACCACGGGTCTAGGCATTGCACTAGAAGTCTGGTTAAAATTTAAATGAAGTTTCTCTTAATTCCAAGGAACAACCTAGACTCTTTGAAGCTATGTCAAGAGAGCATCAGGCAAAAAAGAAATCCTGTGTTTTAGTCTTGATTTGCAATTCACTTGTTTTGTGATCTTGCAGAAGCTATCCAGTCTCTGCATATCTCTATACATTGGCTTGTATGATAATATTCTATTTTTCTTTGTAGAGTTGTTGCACAGGATATAATCGATGACATACATGTGTTAGAAAACAAGGCCAGAATATGAAGGCAGTTGCTCCCAAATCATGGTTTTGGCATTTGTCTAAATTTAATAGACTCACCTCTCCTAACCACACCCAAGAAATCTCCTGCCATGTATGTGCATACGGTTTCAAAAGAGCCCCTGTTCTCTCTTCCCCAAATCATTTTTTTCAAAACTTGCTGGCATAGGTCAGGTTTCAAGAGAGAGAGCATAGTGCGTTCATGGTCAATTGACCTGGTTTTTTACTTGAAGCTAAATTAATCACTTTCATTGTTTCCTCCAAAATCTTCAGGCACCTTTTAAAAATGAACAAGAGCAGCTCTGACTTGGAAAAAGTGAGCCAGGGCTCCGCAGAGAGCCTCAGCCCATCCTTCAGGAGCGTCCACGTCAGCTTCACCACGGGCTCCACGGACAGCCTGGCCTCGGACTCCAGGACCGGCAGCGATGGAGGTAACAGACTTGACCTTGAGAGGGAGGCTTAGATTCTCCTGAGTCTGTAAGGCCAGGCCCAGGTTAACTGCCAGAATGTGGAAGGGCTGAGCTATGGGGAAGCAGGGAACTTGGTTAGAAAGTCTGCAAGGTCGGAGGCCTCTGGGGGACCTTGCCGAAGGCGGCAGCCCCTGCCTTGACTTTTCCAAACAAATCTGAGTCCACCCCCCAACCCTTCCTTGGTGTTTTACTAGAATTTTTACATCTAGATTTCAAAATGTCCTGGTTTGAAAGACACTACAGATGCATGTGCTTTCTCAAGGGTGCTTACCCTGCTAATTGTATCTAGAGGGTAATTTTAGTTCAAGCTGTTGTGACAATAAAAGCCTAAGGAGGCAGGTGAAGGAGGCTTTTTGCTTCTAAAGCAAAACAGCCCCTTAGCCTCTCTTTCACAGAAACGTGTGTCAGAGTAATCTATTCATCCGTTGCTCAGGGTCTGCCAGTCAGCCCCAGCACTGAGCTAGACCTACTTTCTGGGCCCTGCTTTCTCCATGAAGTAGACTCTACCAATGAGTAGTTGACTTTAATTCCCTAGTGAATGTATGGCAAGGTGCCTCATCCCATACCGCACTCTCCAATTCTACACAATGTATCGCCTGGCAACAAGGTGGGAGGAGACAGAGTTGAAAGCATGTTGAAAGATTCCTCATTCCTTGGGTAATGAGCCACCTATGTGTAGGTCTGCTCTCCATTTCTGTCCTTGGGATTAGTTCTCAGGGTTGGGTACATGCCAACCACAGTTTGCTCTTTCTTGGCAACCCTCTGTGTTCCTCTCACTCTTTCTCTCTCCCTCCCCCTGCCTGGTGCTCTCTTGTGTGCATGCATGCACTCACATGTGTTCCCATGCACACACTTGGACACAGCAGGTGTTTACATAAATGTCTATTGAATTAAAAGTATGCAGGCTTCATTAGGCCACCATCCATTCCACTTTCTGGATAAAGCTCTAAGGCATAATATGTGGGTATGTCCTGATTGGGTATGTTCCTGAAAAGGAACTCTTGTTTTTCTGTCGTTGTGATGGGCAGTATTAAAACCTCTCACCCTTTTCAACACTTTTTGTGTGTGTCCTCTCCTGCGTTTCTCCTGGACTTGGTTGTAGCATGTTAGGTTTCGACATGTGCCTACATGACTTCCCCTCGCACTCCTGTGGAAGTATTACTTCTCAGTAGGCGTTGTCAGAGTAGAGAGTCCCATTGAAAAGTTACTGTCACCAACATTTTTCTATCTAAAAGACGAGTACCACTAAGGCAAACACATATGTTGTAAGTCAGTCTGTGGTGTGTTCTGATGGGAAACTTCTGATAGCTCTAGCTTAAAAACAGGAAATATCTCAGCCTTGATTCGAATGGGATGTGACCAAAGAGGATTTTCTTTTTCTGCAGATTTTCCTGGGCTTCTATCTTTTTCCTTTTCCCATCCCATTGTGCAAACATTCCACAAGGCAGATTATTCCACAGGGGGCTGGGTCGGGCCCTTGAACCATGAGTCCCTGTGCTGGCCTGCCCTGCCCCGCTCTCTTGGGATGTGACCAATTCTATGGTGGGGCCCTCATCGGCCACCTGCCAGCTGGTGGTGATGAGAGCTGGACTTAATGGCTTCAGCTCTTTGCTTCTCAGAACCAGCAAATCATGTGTTTGTTCTCAGAGCTCCTAAGGTCTGTGTAGGAAGATAAGGTTAAAAACACGTGATACTGCCCTAGCCGGTTTGGCTCAGTAGATATAGCATCAGCCTTCGGACTGAAGGGTTGTGGGTTTGATTCTGGTCAAGGGCACGTATCTCAGTTGCAGGCTCAATCCACTGTTGGGGCGCATGCAGGAGGCAACCAGTCGATGTGTCTCTCTCACATCGGTGTTTCTCTCTCTATCTCTCCCCCTCCCTTCCACTCTCTCTAAAAATCAATGGAAAGATATCCTTGGTTGAGGATTAACAAACAAACAAACAAAAAAAAACAGCAACACATGACACATGGATGGAATAAGCTAGGAAATTGGGCTGCCCAGAACATGAGTGCTTGTAAAGGCTTCTGGAAGGAGAAGTCAATGAGAGCTGATGGAGGGTTCGGAGAAGACTTTTTGAGAAGATGGGACTTGAGCTCATGTCTGAAGTGTGGCAAGAATTGAGGGGGAACGGGCTTTGCAGGCTAAGGAGACACTAAAGAGGAACAAAGGCTCAGGGGAGAGGGTGAGACCAGCCTGCCACACTTCCGTGGAACAGGCGGGGGAAAGGACGTGAGGTTGGTGGGAAGCAGAGGCTGGTTGTCCAAGGCTCTAGAAACCGATTGTGGAGGTAGGAAGAAGGGAGCCTCTGGGGGTCGATGAGTATAAAGATGACACCTAACCTGGACGTTTTTGAATTAAAATGATTACATTTTTATGATTATTCCACTGTCGTGATCCAGTTATTCAATGGAAATGCATTTCAGAATTTGGATTCCCAGATCCACAAGAAAGTATCCTTAGAACAAACTATTTCTTCCTACTGCTCCTGTGTATGGCTCTGTCGCCAGAACCATGCTTTGAAACTAGCAAGAGACTAAAGGGGCACTGTGTCATTCATTCTCATTCATATTCTCTCTCTCTCTCTCTCTCATATTCTCTCTCTCTCTGAAGGGAGAGGGAGAGAGAGAGTTACACATCGATCCAGCGAATATATAGAACTGCTGGTCATGAAATGCGAGAAACCCTTCATTCAGCTTCTCATCACTAACCAAGGCCGCTTGCTTTATGGCTGTTATTGACTAGTTACCTTTCAGTCCCATGAGTCTTTACTCACTTTTACTGCGTATCCAGAATATCACCCTTCGTGCCTCCTGTTACTATTTGTCACCTGGTGCTGAAGCTGAGAGAGTGGCTCAGAATAGAAGAGGCAGAATTAGTTCAAGCGGAAGATCCTTGAAACCAGAGTGTAGCGTCTACTTCTAATATGGTATTTTGACATAATATACAGTTAGACTCTATACTTATTCTGACAGTAGGAATTCACTAATGAAAGCGATGCATTGACTTCACACCCACAGTCCAGGCTGGCCAGAGTGAGGTCAGCACGAAGCCATTCCAGGCCATATAATCGTAGCAGCTTGTGTAAACTCCTTGGGAGCGCGTCAGGATTCAAGGTTAAAAGTTAGATTTCTCCTATTCAGGCTTTGTGACAAAAAAAAGTTTTAAACTTTATAAGAAAAGCAAACAATTGTAATCAATAACTTGGTCCCATTTTTTAAACAAGTCTGTCTAAATATGTTTACAGATATTTTTGTATCAATATTAACTTTATGTCTTTCCGCTTGTATCGCATTTCATGCTCCTCAAAGCACATCTGCTACCCCATTTGTCCATGTGGGCAGTTCTGTTGAACAGTGAGTCAACTCAGTAGAAGGAAGAATCCGTTTAAGCAGTTGTTTAAGCTGGTATGGGAGGGGCAGAGGGCGCGTGTCAGGACAGATCTGTGACTGCTGCCCGGGAAGCTCATTGGCAGTGAGTGCTGGGTGGGTGAGGAGAAGGGATCGGCTAAGTGAAATGGTCTTCAGAAGACGCCTGTGCTTCAAATGGTTCCTTTTATTTATTTTTTTAAATGTATTTTTATCGATTTCAGAGAGGAAGGGAGAGGGAGAGAGAGAGAGAGAGAAACATCAATGATGAGAAAGAATCATTGATTGGCTGCCTCCTGCATGCCCCCCGCTGGGGATTGAGCCCACAACCTGGGCATGTGCTTTTGATCAGAATCAAACCTGGGACCCTTCAGTCCTCAGGCTGATGCTCTACCCATTGAGCCAAACCAGCTAGAGCCAAACCAGCTAGAGCCAAATGGTTACTTTTAAATATGCAAACCTTATGTGCTGTTAAGATGATGTCCTTTCTGGTTTAGGATAACAAAGTTCAGTTCGTCAGTTTAACAAGCATCTATGGATCAGGTTCCCATAGTCCAGGAGATTAGAGAGTACTTCATTGAACTGAAACTGTAGGCACGAACACTAGATAAGAGGTCTAATTATACAGTGAACACAGTTAGTTATAAATCGCATGAAGCTTTGTACCAGGGCAGTGTCAGTATTCGTATTTTGATAGCTAGCAGCCCAAAGATACAGAATGTTAATTAAATGTCTTGACAGTAGTCAGCTTGTTGTTCTCAATAATAATGCCAGGTAGGTTTTTAAAATATATATATTAATTCAATCATTAATTTGATAGATATTTCTTGAATGTAAACTGTGTACTGGGTGTAATTCCAGATGTTGAAGATATAGCAGTGACAACCCCCCCACACCCTCCCAAAAAAAATGTCCAGCCCTTCTTTCATGGAGCTCACATTCTAGTGGGGAGAGGTGGACAGTGAGGAAGATAAAGGAGTGAAGTAGCCAGTGTGTCACGCGGCAGTAGGTGCTACAGGGGAAATCAAGCCAGGATGGTGGCGGGGAGAGTGGGAGGACCTGTCAGGAGGAGAGGCAGCGAGTCCACGAAGATCAGACATCAGTCAGAACAAGTGGCAGCCTGACCTTCACTGAGCCTTTGCTCCCCACTCAAGCTACAATCTGGGAAGAAATAGTATTTTTTTAATAATACTATTTTAAAAAATTTAATAATATTTTTATTGATTTCAGAGGTCCAAGTGAGAAGGAGAGATAGAAACAGCAAGGACGAGAGAGAATCATTGATCAGCTGGCTCCTGCATGCCTCCTACTGGGGATCGAGCCCGTTACCTAGACATGTGCACTGACTGGGAATCCAACCGGTGACCCCTTGGTTCCTGGGTTGGCACTTAACTGCTGGCTGGACAGAAATAATATTTTTTTAAAGGCAGTCTTGACAATGGGGGGAAAAGGAGACATATGTAGTACTTCAAACAATAAAGAATTATAAATTTTTAAAAAATATATATTCACTTTAAAATAAAAAAAAATAAAGGTGGCCTTGAAAAGGGCATCTAAAACTCTCTAGCTACAAATAGTGTGTTTTCAGACCATT